CCTCCAAAATCTAGATGTGAATTGGACCCCTTGATCATAGACAATGTCCTCTGGGACCCCCATGTAGTCTTACAATTTCCTGGATAAATATTCGCGCCGTCTCGGATGCTGACGGAGTCTTCTTCAATGGAACGAAGTGGGTCATCTTTGACAGTCGATCAACGACCACAAGGATCGCGTTGTGGTCTTGGGACGGTGGGAGCTCGACTATAAAGTCCATCGCGATCCTTTGCCAAGGTTGTTCGGGAATCGGCAAAGGCCGCAGCAGTCCCCAAGCCTTGTTCCTCGATGGCTTGTTTTTCTGGCAGATGGTACAGGATCTTACATAGAGCTTGCAATCCTTGGCCATGTTCGGCCACCAAAAAGAGCATTGGAGAAGCTCCAGGGTCTTGGCTGGGCCAAAGTGTCCTGCCATCGGGTGGTCATGGCAATGTCCCAAGACAAGGGTTCGGACTTCTTCAGGTACCATGGTTAATCCTTCCTTCCATAGGAGTCCCCCCTTGCTCTGGAGGGACACCCCAATAGGGGTTGACGTGGCCGTGGATGCATCCATTAGCTTGGACTGAAGGTCTGTCTGGAGCGCCAAGAAATTTCCTGAAGACAGAATAGTATCAGGTACCGGTTCTTCTTTGGAGTCCTCAAACATGCGTGATAATGCATCAGGTTTCGTATTTTTAGATCCGGGCCTGTACGTGATATGAAAAGTGAACCTGGAGAAGAACAGTGCCCATCTTGCCTATCATGGGCGTAAACGTTTGGCGGTCCTCAGATACTCAAGATTCTTATGATCCGTGAAGATCAAGATGGGGTGTGAGGCACCTTCCAGCAAGTACCTCCATTCTTCTAGTGCCGTTTTGGATGGCTAACAACTCTCGATCGGCCGATATCGTAGTAGTTCTTCTCGGCTGGGGTAAGTTTTCCTCGAGAAGAACGCTACAGGATGGAGTAATTCTTTAGTGCCTTTTCGCTGGGACAGGATGGACCCCACCGCATTCTCCGACGCATCTACTTCCAAGATGTAGGACAGGGCAGCGTCTGGATGGCCCAGAATGGGTGCCGAGGTAAATAGTGCTTCTTCAAGGCCCTCAAAGGCTTCCTGAGCCTCCGGCGTCCATCTGAACCGGGTTTCCAAGTTTGGTTAGCTGAGTTATAGGGGAGACCAGACCCGAGAAAGTTCTTAATGAACTTCCGATAAAAGTTTGCAAAACTGATAAAACCGCTGGACGCCCTTTTTGTCCGTGGGTACAGGCCAATCCAAAATCGCAGAGACCTTCTGAGGGTCCATCGCGACCCCCACGGTGGAGATAATCAGACCCAGAAACGTAATGCTAGATTGCTTGAAACAACACTTATCTGCCTTGGCGTATAACCCATGCTGACGCAACCGCCCCAACACCCTTGCCACATGTATCCTGTGATCCTTCAGGGAGGATGAGAAGATCAGTATATCGTCTAGGTAAACGATAACAAAAATGTCAAGGAAATCCCTGAAAATATTGTTTACAAAATGTTGGAATGTGGCCGGAGCATTGCACAGCCCAAATGGCATGACCAGATATTCGAAATGCCCAAACCGGGTACGGAATGCCGTCTTCCACCCGTACCCCTCCCTTATGAGAACCAAGTTGTAGGCCCCCCTTAGGTCGAGTTTAGTAAATATGACCGCAGCCTTCAGGCTCTGAAATAACTCTAGTACCAATGGCAACGGGTAACGATTTTTAATCGTGACTCTGTTCAGCTCCCGATAGTAGTCAATACACGGTCTCAGAGACTTGTCTTTTTTTTTCCACGAAGAAGATCCCCGCCCCTGCTGGTGAAGTGGAGGGACGGATGAACCCCTTCTGGAGACTGTCCTCTATATATTCCTTCAGGGCCCCCAATTCAAGTTCAGACAGGGGAAAAATTTCGCCCAAAAGGAATCTCAGAGCTGGGCAACAAATCAATGGGACAGTCATACGGGCGGTGGGGGGGGCAGGGTATCTGCTCCTCGCTTTACTGAATACATCCAAGAAGTCATGATATGCTGCGGAATAACCTGTTTCAGATCCAGAGTCCCCTTCGGAAGCATAGGAGGACCCGCGGCGGCTGCCGGGCCCGAAGTGCGACAGTGTTCCTGACAGTATGGGGAAGGGAACAAGATTGACCCGGTCTCCCAGTCAATTTGGGGGTTATGGGCCCGCAAACCAAGGGAGCCCCAAAATGACTGGGAAAAGAGGTGACGCAATGGCATCCAGGCGGAGGAATTCCGTGGTGCTGGTTGGCAATGGTAGTGGGGGGCGATGGGGGGAGTTTCCTGATTAACCACTCCTGATTTTATCTGGGAGCCATTGGCCTAAAAAATATGTTAAAGCCCCTCTTTCTGGGTTGGAGGGGAATTCTCTGCTGGTGAGCAAAGTCTAGATCCAGGAAACAACTGCATGCCCCCGAATGAATTATGGCTGTCACCTCCACGGTCCTTTCTGAAAGCTGAAAGGAGAGGGGCACAACTAAGTATTGGGAAGGACTGACATTGCCAATAGACAAAGAAGAAAAAGAGGTACACTTACTCATTTTCTGAGGGCAGGATCGTACCATATGACCGGCTTCACCACAGTAGAGGCAGAGGTTCTGAGAGCGTCTCCGCTGGCGTTCTTCTGGTGATAATTTAGGCCAGGCCTAGTTGCATGGGTTCTTGAACATCTCCTGGAGGTGGGTTCTGGACACTTGGTCTGGTTGGTTGGCTGGGGCCTTGAAATGGACCCCAGGAATTTCCGCGACCCTGGCCGGACCTCTCAAACCTGCGTTCCCGCAGTCTTCGGTCTATTTTTATCGTCAGGGCAATTAGGTCCTCTAATGACTCGGGAACCTCCACCCGGGCCAGCTCATCCTTTAGGGGTTCTGACAGACCCATGCGGAACTGGTGCAGCAAAGCGAACTCGTTTCCAGCGTGTATCCGCCATCCAACGCCTAAATTCAGAGGTGTATTCCTCTGCCGCCCGACGGCCTTGTTCAGTGGGTTCAGAATAGCGTGTATAGGGTTGCTTCGGCAGAGGCTGCCCGCTGTGGGTCATTCATCATACAGGATGGCCATTGCTTACAGTTGTAAAAAAAAGTCATTGACCATTCCCAGGTTAGGGTCATTGTTTTCCCCCTTAACTGATGGGGCCCAGTCTTGGGTGTCACACCTGCAACAGTGAGATTATAAATCCCACTTTCACAGATTCAGTTAGAAAGGTGCGGGGTTGTGTAGTTCAAAAAACAGGAGGCAGGACTCACGGAAAGACCTGAAAGCGTGTGCGGTCCCCGTGGAAACGCTCCGGTAAGGGTACTCGGGGTTCTGCCATAGGCAGCGGGGCGGAAGCCCCTGAAGCTGGTCCAAGAGCCACCGCGGCCTGGGGTGCGGAAACCGGGGCCTGTGGAGCAGGTCAGATATGGAGCAGGTCTGGAAGCGATTTTCCAGCTGCATACATTTGTCCTGCAGGGCCGCCACGGCCCTGCGTCAAGGTAGATAGATGCCTATAAATATCCTCCAGCGGGGGGGCCCTCCTCTAGGCTCAGTCACGGCCTTCTGGTACTGTAAGGGACCGCCCGGCGGTACCCACTAGCACTCCACTGATCAGGCGTCCCCAGCGCACGGAATCTAAACCCCAGAGTACTTGTTCACCAGGGCCCCTGATGGTGGGGATGGACTTGGAGTACCCTGAGACCAGGTCGTGGCTTACTGAGGACACCCGTCAGTGGTAGGGGTAATCGCCAGGGGCTCCCACGGGGAAGAGCCTGATATGAGGAGGTCGGGAACCCCCGTTAGGGGATGGATGGATGGATGGCTGAGCACGTACAAGGTCAGGCAGGCCCGGGTCGGTAACTATTGGGACGGTGCAGTACAAAGCAGCGGGCAGAGAATAGTCGGGTCACACGCCAGGTCAGCAACAGAAGGTCAGGTCCAATAGGGGGCATCCAGGAGAGAGGTCAGGCAAGGCAAGGGTCTGGGCAGGAGAATACAGCAGGGTCAGGTACAATCCGGGTCCGCAACTTACAAGAAACAGGTTCGCAAATCAGGATACAGGATAGACCAGAAGGCACTGAATGATAGCTCAGGTCCGTTTAAAATATTGCGCCCAGCGCTGTCATTGGTGCCAAGCGCGCGCACCGCCGGTTCCGCGGCCTCTGCGGCACTGCGAGCGCATGCGCGAGAGCTCCGAGCATGTTCCTACTCCTCGATCGCCGCGGTGAGGAAGCGCTTTGGGGCAGGCCAGGCCCTAATGCCCGTGACCCTCATCTTTTCCTCCTACACAGGGCGGTGTTTTGGGGCGGCGCCTTTTTTTACCGAGCGCCGGTGAGACCAGCGCCGCGGCGATCCCCGACATCCTGTCTGATGAACCCATCATCCCTTAGAGGAAAAAGACCATCTAGTTCCTGATCCATTACTGATGACATCTGGAATATTGATTTAAAGGCGCATTTGATATGTGCGTTCGTGAGTGTGCATTACTTACTTTATCACTGCACGGACACCGGTTCCAGAAATAACAGGAGCACAAGAGTCACTTTATGAACTGTCTTTTATATATATTTATATATTTATGAACTATTTATTAGGATCATTTTTATATATACTGAGTTCTTTAGCGCTGCACCCCTACTTATATTACTATTTGGTATTTTTTTGGTTTACCATTGTGCTTCAGCTGCTTTTATTCCAGTGCGCTCACTAGCTCTTATATTTATTTATGTACATATATGTGATTCACGCTCCCGTGGTTTTTGTGCCCCTCCCAGATTGCCCGTCAGTACACCAGTAATCACATTTAACCCCTTGATTGCCAGGAACACGCTCATACACAATAAACCTCCATTGCTAATATAGTGTCTGAACGGATCAATATCTTTGATCAGATCAGCCCTATACTAGCGTTCACATTAGTATAGTGTCCCCGAGAAAGAAACACAGCGTTAGCAGGATCAGCCCCGGCACCTGCTAGCACTTGCATTTAGCCCCACATGGCGAGTCCCATAAGCACAGCACAAGCTGGTGTGATGGCGAGCACAAGAATTCGCACACAGGCCATAGAGCCTCTAGTATCCTTCCTGATGTGCTTGCAAATCCTGATTGGCAGCCCACAAATTCTGCAGCACCCGTACTTCCCCCATTCACTGCCCAACCCGAAATTCAGGTGGAAACAGCAAATTTAAATAATCCCCTTGATTTTTTGGAGTTGTTTTTCATGGAAGATCTGTATGCATTGATTGTGGATCAAAGCAATTTATATGCACAACAATTTATAGCCGCCAACCCAGATTCAAACCTTGCCAGATCATTCGCATGGAAACCTATTACAGTTTCCCAATTTAATTTTTTTTGGGTCCTAACCCTCAACATGGGCATTACTAAAAAAATTAATTTCGGTTGTGTTGGTCCACAGAACCAATTCATCATATGCCCATGTTCTCTGCTGCCATGGCCAGGCATAGATATGAGAATATAATGCATTTTATGCCAAAAATCTGCAGATGTCTATACTCCCCAGCAGAAAATCTGTGTTGATGAGTCCCTCATTAATTTTGCATTCAAACCTTGCATTCAAACAATTTCTCTCCAGCAAGCGTGCCAGATATCGAGTTAAGATGTAGAAGACATGTGAGAGGGCAACAGGCTATACATATACATTTCGGTTACGAGGGAAAAGATAGTCACGTGGAGCCCCCCAGATGCCAAGACTACATGGGGAGTAGTGGCAAGATAGTTTGAGACTTGGTGTCATCCTTTTTCTATATGGGGTACCACTTATACGTAAACAATTTTTATTCAAGCGTGCCACTATTTAGACATTTGTACAATCTTGGAATTGGTGCACGTGGCACCATGCGACATAATGTGTGCCCACCATTAGAAGTGGGTGGATTCAGGGCGATATATTTTAATGGTGGGCATACCACACACTTTTTCTGGCAGAGATTTCTTTTTTTGATTCAGCAAACAGGCTGCATACAAAAAAAAAAAAAGAACATAGCATATATACCCAACAAGGACCAGCAACGTACTGGTACATCACTGGACTTTGAATGGTTATACCAGGATAATATCTACAGCTGCAGGCATCCTTCTGGTATCGTTTTTTTTTCTTCAGCCGGCGACCGGCTTTTATGTAAAAGAAATCCTTGTGGCTAATTAGGCTGCAGGATTGCTTCTAAAAGCAGCAGGAGATGATGCCCCCCGTCCCCTGCTGCCATCTCGGGCAGTCCCGTGCCATCGGGGGGAACCTGAGAATGCAGGCGCTATTTCTGCCAGCTGACCATAGAGTTGATTGGAGACTGGAATGGTGCCAATCATCTCTATAGTCTAAGAAATTGGAAGCTACGTGCCAGTATGTAAACAGTGGTTGCACCATGCATGTGAAGTATCGTCATAAACGTCAAATCAAGGGCAGTAATTCCAGCATTAGACCTCCTCTGTAAATCTAAAATGGCAGCTTGTAAAGGCTTTTAAAGCGTTGCCTATGGATATTAAAAATATATGCAGTTTGTCGCCATTGCACGGGGCATGCGCAGTTTTAAAGCATGTCATGTTTGGTTTCTATTTACTGGGCATGACCCTGATGAAGTCACGGGACAGTGACGTAACGCATGGGTCTGTTAGCGGAGCATGGTGATGGTTGCCACATTTTGGTACACCCTGTAAGTATAAACCCATATCAATACATGTGTTTGATGCCTGATTTCAACTGATGTGATGTAAGTGTTCATTTGGCATTTCTCCATTAAAGTTTTTGCTTTAAAATTACTACACTATGGGAGTGCTCTCTCTTTTTTTCCTCTGGGGTGCGTTTGAGCTAGCTGATGTGAAAAGGATGTGAAAAGGATTACCAGTTTCAACACTACTGAAATCATTATGGTTATACAGTGAGGAAGACCATATTCTTGTGATTGGTGTGATTCTATCATCCTGAAGATCTATTAAGGGCCCTGGGAGTGTGAGGCCTGAAAGCTGTGTGGCCCCTTAGGGTCTTGGCGTGGAGGTGAGGAGGCATTTTAGCCAGTGACGGATTTATCATTTATTTCACCTAGTTGCTTTGTTCGTTTGGAGTTGGCGGTCTATTTACATGGACTTTATGCCGATTTGATGATCACTTATGTTTATTTTTTGGTCACTCATTATTTGTTATATGTCACGTTGTTTTAATTATTTTTTGTGTTTATTGACGCACGTTTATTTCCACTGTGCGTTTTTCACTGGCATCAATCCTGTTTATAAGGTGCATTTTTAATTTTATGCACCTTGTATGATTACTTTTGCACATTTTTTTTGATTGTCACAGTTTTCTTTGCACGGCGCATTTTGTTGCCTTTTATTTAGGATGTGTTAGTCCTATTATGTTGAATACATCATTTATGTTCACTTGTTGATTATTGTGCATGTTGTTTTCATCACAATCCATATTGCACTTAGTTTGGTCTGGTTTAATGACTTTACATTTTTATGTATTATTTATGATGCATTTATAGTTTTAATGCATTTATAGTTTCATGCACCTTGTATGATTAGTTTTGCACAAATGTTTTGCCATTTGATTTTGGCAGTTTTCTTTGCACTGTTTTTGTTCACTTTTATTTAGGACGTGTTAGTCCTATTATGTTGAATACATTATTTATGTTCACTTGGTGACTATTGTTCACGTTGTATTTCATCACAATCTACATTGCACTTAGTTTGGTCTGGGTTCAGGCCTTTACAATTTTATGTATTATTTATGTTCACTTGCTGATTATTGCTCACGTTTAGAGATGAGCGAATTATTCAAAAATTCGATTCGGCTGATTCGCCGAATTCGCGGAATAAATTCGATTCGAGGCGAATATATTCGCTGCGAATTTAACTTATAAAAAGGGTGTTTCTAGGCTTCAGAGAGCCTTTATATATTAGTGCAGAACACTGTACCTTTAATTTAAATGCCCTTGGAGTCTGCTGGGGAAGAGAACTAATACTGTCAGTCAGTATGACATGCAGATGAGTGCCGTCGATCTTAGAATCACCGCACACTTCACTCATTTGGGCAGTCACGGGGCCAAAACCAGAGTGTGGAGCCACAGTGTGGCGGTAGAGGCAGCAGCAATGGGAGGCCATACAGCACCCTATGACAAAATGGAACCCACCAGCAGTGTGAGGAGACCTGAAAGTGGCACATGGCAGAGTGTGGCGATGGAGACAGCAGCAATGGGAGGCCGTACAGGGACCCATGACACACTCTGGACCTGGCAGCAGCGCATGAGGAGGCGGTACAGGGGCCCATGACAGATTACGGGCCTGGCAGCAGCAGTGGGCGGGTGGTGGATGCAGCAGTATTCGGAAGCCAAACATAGGCCTCGGTTAAAAAGCGGAAGCCGTCAGCAGCGTGAGCAGACGACAGAGACACATGGCGCAGGATGGCGGTGGAGGCAGCAGTATTCGGAAGCCATACACAGGCCTAGGTTAAAAAGCGGAAGCCGTCAGCAGCGTGAGCAGACGACAGAGACACATGGCGCAGGGTGGCGGTGGATGCAGCAGTATTCGGAAGCCAAACATAGGCCTCGGTTAAAAAGCGGAAGCCGTCAGCAGCGTGAGCAGACGACAGAGGCACATGGCGCAGGGTGGCGGTGGATGCAGCAGTATTCGGAAGCCAAACACAGGCCTCGGTTAAAAATCAGAAGCCGTCAGCAGCGTGAGCAGACGACAGAGGCACATGGCGCAGGGTGGCGGTGGAGGCAGCAGCAATGGAAGGCCATACAGCACCCTATCACAAAATGGAACCCACCAACAGTGTAAGGAGACCTGAAAGTGGCACATGGCAGAGTCTGGCGATGAAGTCAGCAGCAATGGGAGGCCGTACAGGGACCCATGACACACTCTGGACCTGGCAGCAGCAAGAGGAGGCGGTACAGGGGCCCATGGCAGAGTGGCGAAGCGTAAGCAGCTTAAATTGAAGGCCATACAGAGGCCTATGTTAAAAATAATAACATGTTTGGGGCATGATTCATGGCGGATTTAGTCAGTTGTGTCAGGAAACTGGTGGTTTGAAATCCAGACTAATCCATGCCTGATTCATTTTCACAAACGTGAGTCTCTCCACACTTTGGGTGGACAGTCGTGTCCTCCGCGGAGTTACAATACCTCCTGCCGCACTAAACATGCGCTCCGATGCCACGCTACTGGCCGGGCATGACAGCCTTTCAAGGGCAAATTCAGCTAGTTGGGGCCAAAGGTCAAGTTTCGTTGCCCAGTAGTCAAGGGGATTGTCTACCTCGGTTGGCAGGGTGCTGTCCAAGTAGGCCCGAGCCTGTTGTTTGAGAACCTGCTCCAGGTCCGCCTGATGCTGCTGCTGCTGCGGCTGGTTAGTAGTTTCCTCACTGCGCTGGTGAAGAAAGCTACTCATCATCGACTGCAGACTGAGGCAGCCGCTGCTGGTGGAGCTGCCACTGCTCCTACCACCCCACCCCTCCCCTGCTGCCATGGCAGCGGAACGCGAGCGCACAGGGCCCACAGTGTCTGAGGATGGACGTTGGCGCAGAAAGGCAGAGACCAACTGACTACATAGGTGGGGTTTTTATAGTACTTTATTTTGGCCTCCCTCTCAGCAGGTGTGAAAAAGGCCACCATTTTTGAATGGTAGCGAGGGTCCAACAAGGTGGACAGCCAAAAGTCATCCCTCTGTCTGATGGTTATTATTCGGCTGTCGCTACGCAAGCAAACGAGCATGCTATGGGCCATTTGTGCCAAGGAATGCGAGGGACTCCCTGCCTCCATCTCCACAGCATACTGCCACGGTGCGTCTGGGTCCTCTGTCTCCTCCCCCTCTACCAGATGCTCCTCCACTCCTGTCCGCTGAGTGGAAAAACCACCCATTTCACTCAATAATTCCTGAGCACCAATGTCCTCCTCTACCTCCTCCTCTTCTTCCTGTCCTGCCCCCACAGGGGTCATGTGGCATTGAGATCTGTGCGCCACGTCTACCGCACCCTGACCAGCCATTGTTAACAGCATTTGTTCCAGGACGTGCAACAGAGGAATGACGTCGTTCATCCCATAGTCCTGCAGACTCACGAATAGCGTGGCCTCCTCAAAGGGCCTGAGCAAGCGGCAGGTGTCACGCATGAGCTGCCAATGGCTGACATCTAAGTTACACAGGGGAGTACCTTTATCCGCTTGTAACATCAGGAAATCGGTGATGGCCTTTCGCTGTTCGTAAAGGCGGACTAACATATGTAGGGTTGAATTCCACCTTGTTGCAACGTCGCAGATCAGGCGATGCTGTGGAATTCCGTTCTGCCGCTGCAGCTCAAGGAGGGTGTGCTTTGCGGTGTAGGAATGGCTGAAATGCATGCAAAGTTTACGTGACATTTTAAGGATGTCTTACAGTGGGATGGTGGATTTTAGGAACCGCTTGACAACCAGATTGAACACGTGAGCCATGCATGGCGCATGGCACAACCTTCCTTGA